GGGTTTGTGGGATATGTTTTTTTCTCGGTTCATTATCATCATAATCACTTCAGCCTCATTGAGTCCACTGCTGAACATAAGCCTCCCAACAGACTGCCACGAAGCACGATCCTGAGCCACCTGCATCCATCGACTTCCCGCACACTTACACAGGTCGTCACTCCATCTAGTATCCGTATTTTCTGAAACATTTGAATTTCATCCTCAATACCGTGGTAATTTCTATACCTTGTACCCGAGAATACAAAATATTAGTTGACCCCTGCGAAATTTTGGCATAGTACCGTGATTTCACATCATATTTTAAATAATGTCGGTAAAAATCAATCAATAATATCAATAGATGAAATTATCATATATTGATAGCATCGGCAAACTGATATTGAGACTTACTAGCTATAAGATATTAGTGATCGCGATAAGATAAACAATGAAATGCTACAATTGCAATGACCTCGCAATTAGCGAATAACTACGGACGCATTAATCATTAGTAAATTACATTCATCTCTATAGTGCTATGTGATATATGTATTGCTATTTTGACGACCCGAATGGCGTAGTGGGTAGAGTACCTGCCTCCTGTGCCAGAGGGTGTGGGTTCGATCCCCACTACTGGAAAAATATTGTGTGATGAAAATAGTGTTTTTCTAGTGTCTGGGTGTTTATATATGTATAATATTTATTTATTTTATTTATTTATGCTTTATTGCAAAACCTTAAAAAAGGATTACAAAGGGCGGACTTAATGCCATTTGGGCATTCTCTCCCAGTCAACCCGGGGCGTGGAGAGAGATCGTGGTAGGTGCAATAAGGTAAAAAAGAACATAAACACTAATTAATAAATTAAAAAATGCAAATACTTACATAATGTAAAAACTTTTAAACTTTGCCTTAATATTTATATCTACTCTATAATAATAAATAAATATGAACATATATAGCATATATATTTGATATATACATATACACACACACACACACACACGGGCGCGTATAAAAATTAGTAACAAACGACAACATTCACTTCACTAGTTCATGATATTCTTCTTTTTAGTAATAGTCTCGTACTAACCGCTTAAACGAGGTTCTGCTAGGTGCTCTTCGAATGTCTTCAGGTAAGGAGTTCCAGAGCAGTGCAGCCTGAACGGTAAAAGATTTACCAAAGAAAGTAGTGGCGTGGAGAGGAATTTTAATCTTTAGATTAGATGAAGAACGAAGATGTCTTTCATTAGATTGAGAGAGGTATTGAAATTTATCCTTAAGATAAGACGGAGAAGCTCGATCGTTTAAAATTGAGAAAAGTGAAAGCAAAATTCTATAGTTACGTCTTTGTTGAATAGTAAGCCACTTAAGACGTGTGCGATAATGACTGGTATGATCATATTTACGAAGATTGAAAATAAATCTGATACAGTTGTTGTAAAGGCGCTCCAGCTTGTTAAGAAGTACTTTGTTTAAGTCTGGGTAACACACATCTGCGTAATCAATTATAGGTAATATAAGCGTCTGAACAAGCATTAGCTTGGTCTTAAAGGGAAGAAAATTCTTCAACCGGTAAAGGGTTCGAAAGGCTGCATAGATTTTACGGCTGACTTCTGTGACATGTACTCCCCAGCTCATTGTACTGTCCATATAGAGACCTAGGTTTTTTACAGATTGCGAGAGTGCAATTATTTTATTGTTATAATAGACAGCAGGTAGGCTTGCGTAGTTAATTTTGGACAACAATCTAGAGCTGCCAGCTAGCATGGCTTGGCACTTCATAGGGTTAACTGACACTCCAAATCGTGACGACCAATCGTAAATAGCATTTAAGTTAGAATTTATTTTAGCAATTGCGTTATGTAGCCCCTCAACATCTGTTTGTACGTAAATTTGCAAGTCGTCGGCGTATAGATGGTACGAGCAATCAATACAGGAAGTGATGGAGTTTATGAAAACAGAGAAAATTAAGGGAGAAAGTATACCGCCTTGCGGAACGCCAGATTCTAGACCAGCCCATTGAGAAGACTCTTGCCCTATATGGACCGATTGCTGGCGCCCACGAAGATACGAAGAAAACCAATCCAAAACTGTGGGCGCAAAATTTAAGCGGGAAAAAATGGCGAGGAGGATATCGTGATCAACTGTGTTGAAAGCGTTAGAGAAGTCGACAAGCACCAATACTGTGACTTTCTGATTTTCCATTCCAAGCCTAATGTCATCTGTGACTTTAATTAGCGCAGTTGTGGTGCTGTGTCCAGAACGAAACCCGGACTGATAAGTGCTCAGTAGGTTATTGCTATAAATAAACGTAGAGAGTTGCTTATGAACACAGGCTTCTAAGACTTTAGAAAGGAAAGGTAAAATGGAAATAGGACGAAAGTGATTGGGAAGTGTAGGATTAGGTACTTTAGGAAGGGGTCGCACGTATGCCTTTTTCCAAAGCATTGGGTAGTGACCTGAGTCGAGGGAAAAATTGACAATATGTGTAACTGCAGGGATGAGGTAATCCATTACATGGCCTATCATAACCCTACCTACATTATCACAACCCACAGCTTTAGATTTGATTGCCAGGATAGTTTTTCGAATGTCATCTTCATCAACAGAAGAAAAATTAAAAATTGGAATGTGTGGGAACTGAATGGAAGATAGATAATCAATTGTTCGAGTACGGATAGTAGGGTCTAATATCGGAGCAGAGACAAAATGAATGTTTATATCTTCAGGAGAAACAGAAAGACTACAATCCACAGGAGATGTCTTGCCGACGCCAAGAGAATTAAGGAATTTCAACACATCCCCTGACGAGGAGTTACTTATGCTATTATGGATATATCGGCGTTTAGCAGCTCGTACCATCTGATTACATCTATTTCTGGCGAACTTAAACACTGCCCAGTTCTCTTCGGTCCGATGGTTTTTGAAATAAGAAAAAGCACGATTGCGTCTAGCCATTGCCCTTCGAACATCATTTGTCATCCATGGAGCTGGAGGACGTTTCAATTTTAATTTAGAGGCTGGAGCATGGAGATCGTACAGACTTATTACCATGTTATTAAAAACAGTAACCTTATCATCAATTGTTGATGCCGTTAGTAAAGTAGAAAAGTCTAGAATAGACGCATCGCGGAGAAGCCTTTCTTTGCTCATTCTTCTGAAATTGCGAAGATAAACATAAATGGGACTAGGTTTGGGAACTTTAAGTTTGTAAGAAGCGTAAATAAGGTCGTGTCGAGAGAATCCTGGAGCCGAAAATTGTCCGTGCTTTACCACACGGTCCAGACAGTTAGTGATAATGAGATCAATAAGAGAGTCATCCGTGTCGATATTATGATGCGTAGCCAGCCCTTAACGGTAGAATTTTGAGATTCACGGACTCAATTATTGTTTGGAGCTTTAGAGAACGTAAAGAATTTTTTAAAAGATCAGTGTTCAGATCACCCATGATCATGCAGTGTGCGTTCCCTGAACAGACATTTTCGAGAGCTATTTCTAAACTGGCGAAATAGTCTATAGAAGGGGGATAGTACACTACTCCAAGGATCATCCTCATACCTTTGACATCGAGTTCCAGGAACAGAAATTCAGCTGAAGCGGTGTACAGAGAGGGGGATGTCAAGACAATTTTATATGTTAGCGATTTGTGCAGATATATAGCAACCCCACCTCCTCCTTTCCCCGTACGATCGTTTCGGATAAGTACGAAATCAGGTATTGGATATAATGTTGAATTTAAGGAAGGTTTTAACCAACTTTCAGAGACTAAGATTGCGTGAAGACGTACTGAAGAAAAAGATTCTTCGAGCTCTGAGAAGTGGCTCGGTATACTTTGAGCATTTATATGGCAAATATTTAAAAATTTATCAGTGAATGGAAAAATAGCATTTATTTGATCTTTTACCGAAGGAAAATTATCATTCATAGAGTCACTACAGGAATGAAATGAATTGTCAGAGTCACTATCTGAGTAGTGAATCTCGTAATCCGACATAATTAGAAAAATATAATAAATATATCAATATATATATTTAGAATAAAATAAAAGATATTAAAATAATGATACTACTTAAAACTGAAAAACAAAGAATATTTAAAAAAAAAAAAAAAAACTAAATTTATGATACCATCCCACCAGTTGACTGTTTACAGATTAAAACTAACTAAAATCAAATCAAGGAAAAAAAAAAAGACCTAGTAATACAGAAAACAAAACAAAATATTATGATATAGGAAACGCAAATAAGATATACAGATATGCACCATCTAGTTTCCAGATATTTGATATCATGGCCACAGACAAAATATTAGATTAATATTACAAAATCAAAAACTAAAATTATACACATCAACAAAAAAAAATTATAGTATAAAAAGCAATAGCGGTGTATAATTTTTCTAAAAAAGGCAACATATAAATCTTAAAATGCGATAGATGACATGCAATCATTCATTAGTAATACTTGTTAAGCTGCATGCTTAATGATCTGTACCTGTCTTGGAATTAGTAGTAAACACTAACCAATCTTATTTTTATTATTAAAATTCAAATGCAATGTGTTATTCTATCTATTTAATCTAATTCAATTTAATTCTAAATCTATTCAATTTAATCTAATTGTTATTTTTTTAATACTAAATAGTAATGTATAAAAACTTAGTTTTCAATAGAAATTTTATTTTTTGACTGAAGTTAATTATGAAGAAAAGTGTGTAGATCCAAGTCAAAGTAGAATCATCAAACAGCAAGCATTAAATAATGAAAAAAGTGGCAAAGGACAGATAATTTTTAGAATCTGTACAATAATACATTTATAACATTAGAAATACTTGATTGCACAACTTATCTGAGAACTAGGGTGCTTCAAATTAATAATTATTTCTTTGCTGGCACCCGTCTACATCTCTTGTTGTCATCCTCAAGGGCCATTGACGACGGTTGTGGACGCCGAATTTTCTCAGGCTGAGCAGCAATGGGTGATATACGAGGTGCCTGAATAACTTTTTTGACCTCAGTGGCACAGGGAGCCTTGGTAGCAGTAGTGGATGTGGATATTGCTGGGAACTTGACCATGAGAGCATCTAGCTCTTCCTGAGAGGAGATCTTGGCACGTCCTTCAGGGTATTTAACATATATGGCTCCATCCAGAGACCATACATTTTTTATGCCAAAATGGTTTCGGGCACCCCTATACACAGACTGTCTAATTCTGGTCAAGAACTCACTAACAGAGATGGCAGATCCTTTTAATTTAGACTTCATTTTCCAAATTTTCGATTTTGATTCATGGTCAGAGAAGTAGACAAGAACAGGCCTTGGTCGATTACTGTGTGAAACACCAAGTCTAAAGCATTGTTTCAAGGAAGTACCTGTGAACTCTGAGAGTTGCATCTTCTCATGCAATAACAGCAACACTTTTTGTGATAAATCTTCTTGTGACTCCTCTGCCATCCCGTTAAAAAGCAGAGCCTTTCTACGTTTGTGCATATCTATTGAATCTATACCTTTTACGCAGTCCAGGATCTGCTGTTGCATAAGGCTGAGCATAGAGCTTACTATCTCTTTGAAATTGTAGAATTCATCACGTAGCTGTATGAGAGTTAGGTTAGTGGGAGTGGAAGCAGCCTTCAGTCGCTCTTCAAATTCAGCCATTTTTAATGTCAAGGTTCCTTCAAGTCTTTTGTGCATGTTTTCCACACCAGAAATGGTTGCCATTATAGTCAAATATAATGATAAATTAAATAGAGAAGTTATAGCAGTTTGATTGAGAAAGAAGTTATGGAGGGATAGTGTGATTATATGGGCAAAGTTAATTAATTTACCATACTAATTATTTCCACTTTATTATGTACTTGAGTAATTTACAAATAACTAATCAAACACTCTAAAAACTTATTGTATATATTATTTAAGATATTAAATAACGCAAGGTCAAAATCAGCTGTTTCTTATTCAAAAAGAAAAGAAACAAAAGAAAAGCCTACTCGGCCCCTTTTTCACGGCCAACGAACTTCCCCCGTGTTCGCTGACCAGAGACCATGGGAGCCAGGAGAGCCAGTGTCAATAAGCAGCAAGCTACCCAGCCCCCTGCCGCGGACCTGGTCTGTGGCCCCGCCACTCACCACGTTTCGGCCGCGGAGGGTAAGGAGAACGGCGTACCGCAGTACCGACACTCCTCTCCTCTCGCGGCCCCGGGTGGAGGATAGGGAGCGTGGCGAGCGCAATTCCGACATCCCTCTTCTCCCGCGACTCCTCCTCGGTAGCAGAAGACAGGGAGAGTGGCTCCACCTCTACCACCCTCGACCGATACCCTCCAGCAGGCATCCAGAGTGGGCTGAATGAGCTCACTCGGAGCGGCCTTCTCGGGCCGGCCTTACACCACAGGCCCGCCCAGTGTGGGACCCTCTTAGCTTCGCCGTGGGCGGCTTCGTCAAGGCGGGAACCCGGTCGGAGGAGACAGTTGGTTTGAGACTAACATCGTAACGCAGTTCCATTAACAGAGTCGAATTTAATGCTGCTATCTGAAAACAAATCGTGAAAAGTACAGAGCAGGACTCAAAATAATACAACCGCACAACTGTAAAAGTAAAATTATACAATTTGTTTTATTATTCGGCAAGCTAGCCGTACCCTTGGCGTCACGTACGGTGCGACGTACGCCGGACATTGCTTTGGCGATTTTCCAACGCAAGGACTCAAAGCTAGAAAGAAAAAAAAAACAAAATCTTAACATGAAACGGAAGCTAGCAGTAAATCAAGTGGCAATAATTAAAAAATAATAATAGTAAACTCAGAACTGAAGTAGAAATTTACATGACTGCGTTTCTGTTACGTAAACAGCAACTGTTATGTTTAGGGTGTTGTGACATACAGCGATGTTGTTATGTTTCCTGCGCTTGCAAGCCATCCACTAGTGTTTAGTCACCCATGAACAAGGTTAAGGCTATTCGCCCTCACCGCCCGTCCACCTCAAGCTCGGTGGATCTGTAAAGGACCCATAAACGCCAACATTCAACAACAAAATAACAAAAAAATATAGGACATTCGTGCTCAGCGACGGTTGCCTGTTGCACTCGTTGAAGTTCTGTATTATTCCCTGTCTCACTCATTAATTTAGTTTACATATCTTCGGTAAATTCGTAATGTACTCCAATATCAGTGTCTAGGTCGTTTATTACACCCTTTAGCGCTTTGCCCTTAGGGCTTTGCAGATCATTGTGTATGTGGTGTTCTATACATCAAAGTTTTTATAGAGTGTGTGTCAGAGTGATGACTCAACCGGGAGAGCAGTGATAGCTCAGTGTCCGGGCGCTCGACTTTATTTCAATATACTCGAGCAACCTGAGTTCGATCCCCGGTGCCGGCATCAATAAAATTGTTAATTTTAAGTGCTGACTTATCAAGTGCTCAGCGGTGAAGGAAAACATCGTGAGGAAATCTTCAAATAACAAAAAAAAAATATTTCGAAAATGTGTGAAGTCCGCTAATCTGCAGTTGGGCCACGTGGTAGACTATGCCATGATACCCTCTGTATAGAGGAGGCCTTTGCCCAGCTGTGGGACATGTATAGTATGTTACACCAGGGATTACTTTGCAGTCTTTGAACTTTTCCGCCTGCTCCGCCGTACCGATAACTATTATTTCCGTCTTTACAGCCGTCGAAGTCTTCATCCGTAATCAGCCGTAATAAGCAAAGCCACTGTGTTATACCCCACAGCACTGGGTCCCTGTCTGAACTTAGCTGCTAGTTTACTCCGCCCTACTTATACCTGCGATCTAAGCGTTGGACAAGGATTGCCCTAGTAGGAAAAAGTGAAGATGATTCTAACTCTCCTAGGATTCGGTTCAAAGTCGCCTCGGAAGCCACAATCGAAAATCCACTGTTGAGTAGCCCCAAACTTCTAAGGTATTTTGTAAGGTTGATTAAGTCATTATCATATAGTATAAAGTTTATAATAAACAATATTGCGGTCAATGCACCATCTCTTGTAACGAATTTGTATGCCGTGATACGGCCTGGACATGATAGGACAATGTATATTTAATATCTTGCATGCAATGTATGTATACCATGTTTTTACAAATAAAGACTATCTATCTATCTATCTATCTATCATTTTTTGTAACTGTGGTAGGGCCATGCAGTAGCTTCGGCTGTTGCACGAACGGGTAGGCTCGAACGGCAGAAGTACCATGGCCTCAGAGACGACTGGTGTGAAGCGGAAGTGTGATACTTTCGCGTTTCGTCTGGTGAGATAGGTAGCCGGGGCCCACTTTATTAAAAGTTGGCAACGTATCTGAAACGGGTGTTACACTTGTTATCAATTATCAATTAACGCAGTTATCAATTAACAGGTGAACCGCTAGCTTGTTTGCCACCTTCCCACATGAAAGTAAATAAAAATTAAATGATTACATATATATTAAAACGAAATAAACGTTTCAGAACATTACAGCATGATGAGGGATGTATATAAAATAGTTAAATATTTCAGAATTGAAACTCATGGTACGATGAAAAATTTCCCTTTATTACTGCAGTCGGCACTGTCTAAAAAACTATGGCCATACGGCACGGTGCAGCAATTATTACTGTCGTGCGGACGCGATATGATCTTGCTTTGTTGTGCTTCGATTATTGAAATCGAGATATAATCTATTATCTAATATTTATTTTTCGATTGTTTTAAAGAAAGTAATCGATTTTAATAGCTATCGAATTGAATTACAATACACCTTGGACTATTAAGTGAAGGGGGTACTTAGGTCTCTTGGAACTTTAACCATTCAGTTGTAACTCGCACCCCCCCTTTATTGCGTATATATATAATTATAACTTATATATTTTTTCCCCCATTATATGAATAAATCATATAACATCATTACGTGACCAGGATAAATTATCGATCTGTCTATAGGATCTTTCTAAAGGTAATAATTAGCCGTATAAAATATTATTGTGATCGTCATATTCGGTAGGACCTCATTTACGTTGTGTTTAATTAGTAACTTGATTCTTTTAGGTGTATCTTGGATAGATAAATATTCACTAGTTGTGGTATAAGCCAGAGATAATGCCAGATTGCTTTCTTATTAACTAATCCCGACTCGCTTGAGACGGGCTCAGAGTATATAGTATACTCCCTCTCACGCTTGTAAAGGGCTCACAATATAATTTTAAAATAATATCCCTTCTCTCTTGAAAAGGGCTCACATCAATTTTACATACCCGATACAAGTCTACGGCTCCCCCACATTTTAAAAAAATGTAGGGAAGGCACACGGCTCCATGAAAACACTCACCAACGCCGTGTGCGGTGAGCGCCAACCAACATATTGCGCCCCCCCCCCAGAAGAGGGACAAAAAGTTGGGGAAAGGACCGAAGTCCATTGCAAAGCTGTTTTACCAGCATAAAGAGGGCTTGGCCCCTTGGCAGTGCGTAAGCACAAACTTTGACCGAAGTCGCGCATGTCAATGCGTGTAAACGTCATACAAGCCGACGACAAATCCAGTCTTCGTGAATGTACGTCAATACGGTTTTGGGCATGTGTTAAAGATCAGGCACTCTGGCCCTATGATATAATAAGCCCTCCGTAAGCGCCACCACTTTTGCCAGATCGCCGCGACTGCAGACGTGATTGTTAGTGTTTTGGCATCACCACCATTAAAAAGGTTAGCACGACATTTCGTCGCAGAGCGCGTAGCCCCAAGGGTATGGTTAAAACGTTGCACGGCATCGCCGCAGCCTTGAGAGGTTTTCTCCCGCCAGCTACCATCCACATGAGGTAAACGCATATGCTCCACCAACCATTGAAATAGTCAGATATAGCCATAGTTGTGATTTTATGTTTAGCCATCAGAAGGGTTTATAATTGGCAACATATATTTATTTGTCAGTGTCTCTGACGTTGAGTATAGTGTATTTTCGATCAAGTTTGTCTCACCCACCAGCAAGTTGCCATTATTCGTTCGAACGGTGGGAACTTTACTGAGATTCGTTAATAATGATAAAACGTATAAAGAGGTCAGACAGTCTGCAGTTCCGTCATCAGGAACCCGACTTGGACAAATCTACTGAGATGTGCATCAAACCGAGACGCAGACTCGGCCATTATGAATAGCGTCGTCTCCCAAGCAAATGTCGCAAGACGCAATGTCACCAAAAGCAACATGCATCAATACAACTATCGCAGGTCAACACGCCAACATACAGCCTATCCGCATACACAGCAGACATCATCACCTCGAACCTCCATCAACCAGACTCATACGATGCAATGATATTAGGCGCAGATCACCCCGCAAATACCACAAGACGCATTACTGCATATAGCCGCATGCATCAATGTGACTATCGCGTAGGTGGCACACCCTCACACCACACCAATATAACTCCGATCAACTTCGGCTCCAAAGTTTAGAATATACTCGGAACACACGAAGTGTCCAAACATACTCTTTCACGATCCGAATGATAGTCGACGTATCATAGCGTAAACACTAAAACGCCAACCACCAACGGACCCCCACCCAAGCCAAGTAATAGCCAACGTATCATAGTGGAATACACTAAGACGCAAGCCACCACCACCAGACTCCCCAAAGTCAGATGATCCGTCGACGTATCATAGTGCAACACACTAAGACGCCAACTACCACCAAACTCTTACTATGCCGAATGACAGCCAACGTATCATAGTGATGGTCACTAAGACGCCAACTACCACCAGCTATCGATGATATGTCCACCACTGAAGACATATCCATTCATGGTTCCACGTTTACCGTAGACCATATCGTCGTACAGAAGTACCACGCAACTCCATAGTAATATGTCTTACAAAGTCCCAAATCATTCATTGCTCTTCATTATAATTATATATTCATTAATTTTTCTCTGAGCCTTCACATATTATTACTTTTATCCATTAGACCTTACTTCCATATGATTTTGGTATGGGACGTTCATACAATGTACTTTGACTATAGTACTAAGAGTCGCGATCGACCTCTGTACTTACATATGTGCGGTCATACAAATGTGTCCCCGCACGGTACATAATACTTCCCTTAGAAATCACTAAGTATGTAATTGTATTTAATGGACATAATAGTGATCGTATCTTGCTATATTTTTAATAAATATCCTTTTTTGAGTATTTTAAGTGATTTTTAACTATTTTTCATCAATTTTTGGTAATATCATTTTCTCATTCTAACACTTATATTTCTTTAATTTAAGTATATATTATTAACTTTTATTGTGATTAAACGTTCTTAAACGTTTTATTTTCATCTTAATTGATCTTTATTATGACTAATTAATAATAATATTTATTATTATTAATAGGTCGTTACACAGTCTATGATGAGTCGAAAATTTTCTAAGGTATTCCTCGTTATTTTTTATTTTGTTGTTCATATCAGAAGTGTGCGCACGTTGCATTTTTGGTTTGACTGCTTTTGTTCCTGAAATTTTGATCTATACAATAATTCCCATGGCTGATCATAGACAAAAGTCAATTAAAATTCGTTTTGGTGGTATCGATGTAAGGAAAATTTCTAGTGTCGCTCTACCTGCCTTCCTTGCTTCCGTGCATAGCGTAAATAATTTATGTAATAATATCCTTAATCACGATTCAGAACTTTCCTATGCAGAGGAGGTAAGGATGTCTATATGCTCCAACGAAAATATCCCACTGGAAGTAAACCTACAAAAACAGTGGGATGTTTCTTTGGTGCGGGGAGTACAGAGAGATACGTTTCAATCTTTAGAAAGTAATTTAGAGCGTGCCCGTTTCCTAGGCGTCTCATCTAAAGAATCGAGATATTGGCTTCACGCTTTACCATCAAGTAACTTGGGCACTTGACGATGAAAGCTTACGCATTGCTGTAGGCATCCGTCTGGGGGCACAGATATGTCAATCACACCAATGCCCTCGTCGTGTCAGTGTAGACAAATTTGGCCTCCACGGGCTTTCTCAAAAAAGTGCTGGTCGTTTTTGCCGCCACGGTTCTCTGTACGACATCATCCGTAGGGCTCTTGTTTCCATCAATGTTCCATCTATTTTAGAGCCCTGTGGCATTTTTTGCGACGATGATAAGAGACCCGATGGTTTAACATTGATCCCTTGGGAGAGAGGCAAAGCCCTTGTTTGGGACGCCACTTGTGTAGACACTTTGGCTGCCACTCATCTAAGGGGTACTTCGGTCAGGGCCGGGGCGGCATCGGAGGCAGCTGAAGTAAGTAAATGGCGCAAATATGAGTCTCTATGTTTAGATTATATATTTGTGCCATTTGCTGTTGAATCTTTAGGTCCGTGGGGTCCCCGCACATCAAATTTTTTTAAATGTTTATGTCCTAAGCTTAACGCCGCGGCTGGTGACAAGAGAGCTGGTTCTTTTCTCGCTCAAAGGTTAAGCATAACTATTCAGCGAGGGAATGCAGCTAGCATTCTTGGCACCTTGCCGCGTGGATTAGGTTTATTAGATAATATGTACTTTTAAATAGATTTAATCTTGTAAATATTAGATCAATAAAGATTCTACATTTGGTATTTAAAAAAAATAATTAAAATGAACTGAGAGCCGCCTTAGTCAGCACAGAAGCAGCTTATTTATATTACAAGTAGCGGCCGTTTTTAAAGCGAGTTAATAAGAAAAATAAATTAAAAAAAAAGTTAAATGAACTCATACAACATCCACAAAATCACGTTGAAGTTTACCTCAAAATTTGTAGCGCAGTCACACAAATGTCACAATCAAAAACGAATATTGTGTGATAGTTGATGAATCTTTCGCCCTAAGTGGAAAGAAAAGTAACCACTGGAAATCTCGATCAACCATCAATATCACTACCCTCCTCCTAACCTCAACTGATTTTTCGGTCAATGATTTCTAAAGCAATTCATGTTTTTTTTTAATTTCATAAAAAGGTAAAAGTACATCGACAGTAATGGCTTGGCAGAATTAAATATAAGTTTTTATTAACACGCATCTGAAACTCTACGGGTGTTACAAATGTCCATGGGCGTCGGATATCATTTCAAAATCTCTCTCGCAATTCTTAAAATTTTCAATTACATCAACAGTATCAGCGGTTTCTATTCCAATTTATTCTGAATACTTACTCTACATCCCTTTTCCCAAATTCGTTTGATTTGAGCTCTGTCAAGACATTATTTTTCATCTGACGTCGTTGTATATAAAGATATGGTTAGCCATTGCCACTTAGTTTGTTCATTTGTAAAACGAGATTGTTTTTGTTGTTTGTCAAATTCCTTTGTTTCGGATTCAATCACTAAGAAATGCTGAGAACAGCTCACTATTTGTCGCCGTAGGGCTTTCAAATTGTGGAGCGGGTGAAATAGTCCAAGTCACCACGAGAAGGTCTGGTTAAAAAACAAGAAATAAAACTATTGTAACAATATAATTTCATACATCTATTTCATTCAATATTTTGAATGTAAGGTTTAATAGATAAATTGTCCTTTTTTTTCAGTTACAAATTCTGGGTGACTTGTCCAGATGCTCTAGCCAATCTTTTCACGTCAAGAAAATTTCGACGACTATCTCCTTTTTTATTTTCCAGTTTTGGAATGCTTTTGTTTTTTATGATTACATTTATAATCATATATAACCTATATCTATTACGTATATATAGTTGGGAAGCATATAGCTATTGAGTGTTTGTTATTGTTTATTTCTTTTGACATAATTTATTGTTATTGCTTGATCATTACTAATGATCTGTCTTTTTATAAATATATTGTGGCCAAAAATTTATACACTTATCTTATAAAAAATAATTAAATCGTTTAAATTTAAGACATTGAATCATTGTAACTTAATAATTATATATTTCGAATTTAGCACGTAATATGCGAAGCAAAGTGTTAATAATAAATTCACGGTGAAACCTCGCATACATTATTAAATCGCGACGGATTGGCGTTCTCGTTAGAAATTCACACATCAATTAGACATATAGTATATTTCGCAATAAAAGCCTTCGACAAAAAGGAAATTTTCATAGAAGAAGTTGATGTACAATATTCGAAATACAAATAATTGCAGGTGAATCTGTATGTATGGATACTATGTTCAAATTTTTAGAGAGTCCACATAACCCATCTTTGGGTCCACATCTTTGGCTTCTGGGCTCTACTGGGCTCTGGCATCCGAACATTTCAAAAGCAGTACGTTTTAAACTGTTTCTTTTCTACGTGACCGTACTTTTCTTTTTCACTCAATACTTGAAATGCGCGAACGATTTCCAAGCGGAATCTCTGCAGCTTATTCTCCAGTACGCGCCGTTCCACATGGGCATTGTGAAGTCCTGCTTCTTTCAGAAGCAATATAAAACCTGGGCTTCGTTAGTCGACTACTTATCATCAGTAGAACTTGAACAGTTAGAGGTGAAAGAGAACAGAGTTATAGGCATCATGAAGGATTACATCGCACGTAACCGTCGTATAACGTATTTCTTCTGGGCTTTGGCGTTCTTCTCCAACTTCAGCATATTCTCTGAACCGTATCGGAAGAACCACGCGGTAGAGAACGGAACCAGTGTCTACTTGAACATCTTCAATGGTTTCACGCCCTTCTCCGGCGAGCCTCCAGGGTACTACGGAGCAATGGCTGTCCAAACTGTCCTTGGTCACATTGTAAGCGCCTACGTCGTCGGTTGGGACACGATGGTCGTATCCATAATGATATTCTTCGCCGGACAGTTGAAAATCACTCGATTATACTGCATGGGAGTGGTTCAACCCAAAAACTCTGATGACTCTCATCGAAGCATCGCCAAGTGTCACAAGTTTTATATCCAATTGAAATAGTAAGTTTCAAAATAATAAATGCAATAAAAATAAGAGACGTATGTACAGGATTCTTTTTAATTTTCAGCTATCAAGAATTGTTTAATGCTCTGATATCACCAGTCATGTTTGCCTACTTAATAGTTATATCTGTCAATTTGGGCGTTTGTATAATTCAAATCGTAGAGGTTAGTAAACATAATTTTACATTTTCTTAAAGCGTAATTCCTTACCTACAAACAATCTAATATATAATGATTATTTTAGTTACAAGATGACTGGGCTACACTGATTTCGAGCTGTGTGTTCACGATGGCGTGTCTTATTCAACTGTTACTTTTCTATTGGTATAGTAACGAGGTTACTGAAGAAGTATGTATAGTCAAGATAACTAATGAAAATAATTGTTAATTTATATAAATCACACATTTTGGACACTGTCCAACACAATTTATATACAATATATAAATAGTTACATATCAATCAATCAAAAATATCTTTATTCAAAGAGACGCGTGTGCGTTCTTATGAATCGTCAAATTTTAATTTTTTTTCATAAAAAATTATATATATGTCCGTAAGGTACATACCACCGGTTCGGAAAGCATTTTCTGTTGAGAAGAGACCGGCAAGAAACTGAACAGTTGCTCTTTTTCAAAAATATCAGTTTACAATATAACACACAGGTACAATATGGTCTTATTCTAGCCTACGTGAGTATCAACAGTTTAATACTGTTGATACTCACGTAGGCTAGAACCACACATTGCCGTTGTCGAGATATTCCGCAATGGTATAATATACTTTAATCATAAGTTGACTTTTAATTTTACGTTTAAATTGATCTAGCGGCAGTCTTAATATCGACAGTGGGGTTTTATTATACATGCGCACACTTTGCCCCATAAACGCCCTACTTACTTTTTGTAGACGAAGCAATGGCGTAGTAAGTTTGTCCTTATTTCGAGTGTTTATTTTATATCTGTCACTATTCTTTAGGTAATTATTAAGGTTATGACATTATAAGTTATTACATTATGCGCACAAAGCGCTTCTTTCGAAGCTGCCCTCCTATGGGCTTCCCGAGACATTATGCAATTGGATCACCAACTTTTTGGCAAATCGGAGCATCAAGGACGTCGTCGACGGTGCATGTTCCGATCCTAAATTTGTCAATGCTGGTGTTCCACAAGGCTGCGTACTGTCTCCTACTCTGTTTCTTCTGCATATCAATGACATGTTGCAAATCAGCAACGTCCATTGTTATGCAGACGATAGCAGACGATGTCTCGTACACTGGCCGAGCTAACATTTCTCGGGAAAACGTCTACGAGAGTCGGATCAAGCTTGTGTCTGAGGTCGAGACTTTGTTAACCAAAGTCTCAGACTGGGGTCGACTAAACCTAGTCCAATTCAACCCCAAAAAGACACAAGTTTGCGCGTTAACCGCTAAAAAGTCCCCATTTGTCGTGACTCCTCATTTCGAGAACACTCCCCTACCTGCCACAGCTAGTATCGGAATTCTTGGCGTCGAAATCTCGAGCAACGTCCAGTTCCGCGGTCAATTGGAAGGTAAGGCCAAATTGGCCTCAAAGAAGCTTGGTGTGCTCAGCAAGGCGAGACGGTACTTCACGGCTGCCCAACGCCTAAACCTCTATAAGGCGCAAATTCGGCCCCACATGGAGTACTGTTCTCACCTTTGGGCGGGAGCCCCCTATTACCAGCTTCTTCCATTTTGACCGCATTCAACGTAGGGCGGCTAGGGTTATCGACGATCAAAGTCTTTCCGATCGGCTTGATCCTCTGGCTCTGCGTAGAGATGTTGGATCACTCTGCATCTTCTACCGCATTTATCACGGGGAGTGTTCTGAGGAATTGTTTGGATTGATCCCGGCGGCTGAATTCCACCATCGGACATCGCGCCAGAACCAAAAATTTCATCCACACCACCTCGATGTCCAACTTTCCACAACAGCGCGATTTTTAAGGCATTTCTTGCCTCGCACAAACACTCTGTGGAACCAATTACCGCCGGCGTTTTTTCCGAACCGTTACGACCTGGGAACCTTCAAAAAGAGAGCGTACTCTTTCTTAAAAGGCCGGCAACGCAGTTGTGAGCCCTCGGGTGTTGCAGGTGTTCATGGGCGGCGGTAATCACTTACCATCAGGTGAGCCTCCTGCTCGTTTGCCCCTTTTCTCCATAAAAAAAAAATATGATATTACAATTAATATATTGCGAAGCAACAATGAGTATATTATATAGGTATTAGTATTATTTAATAAAGTTTAGCATTTAGGACATATCACGTGAAAATATCTTGGGTTGTTTTTTCCATCTAAAAGTATTTTTAGTATTGATTCAAAAATTCATCATGTATTAATCATCATCATCAGCATTTTAGCCTCTCCAAGTCCACTTTTTGAGCATAGGCTTCTCCCACAGAGTGCCCTAAATATAGTCAGTAATTATTACTACCAGCTTCATTAAAATCGTTATGCAAATTGGGATAAATGTCACGTGTTTTCGTGTTTTAGTAATCAGGTATTTTTAAATGGATCTGAAATAAATTAGTTACAAGTTGTAAATAGTATTTATTTTTGATCAACTAAAAACGCTGTCATGTACCTATTTCGCAAATAATATGTTTCAGAGTTTAAAAGTGAGTTACGGAACGTTCGAGAGCAAGTGGTTCGATTGTGACCAACGCTAAGAAGAGAAGTGCTCCTTCTTGGTTTAACAACAAAGAAAAGTCTTCTGTTCCAAGCAGGATCATTCAATGAAATGTCTCTCACAACTTTTGTATCGGTAGGTATTTTTAATCATACCTTAAAAATAGGGAACTTGAGGTATATTTCATTGAATATATTATACAAAACCACAGCGCGAACCACAGTTCGAAACTGTATTGAGGACAATGGTAACACAGAAGTAATTTAAATTAAAAACCTTTCCATTAAGAATAATTACTAATGTAATTAAAAGTTAATTATCTGAAATGGCATTTTGCGTTGAAAAGCAATTTTTTGTTAAAGCATCAAATAATTTGTACAAGATTTTTAATTGTTGTTATAAGTGATTGAAAAGACTTTGTCTTTAGGTCTTTGAACTTAAATTAATGGAGCATACGCCGATTTTGCTACATTCATGTCGATTCAAAAGCCTACCACAAAATTAAGTTGCTTTGTGGAAGGCTTTTGAAGACTGTCTTGACTATTTGAGGATTTGAAGAAATTATGAAATATAAAAAAAAACGTTTTTTTACAGATTTTACGTACTAGTTACAGCTTTTACACACTGCTTAGTAAAACAAATCAAATTGGAGATGTTATTGAAGCATATTAAGGAATTAATATAAAACTCATTATTGTTACTTCAATGTAGACTTAGGCATATAAAATAATTTGTATAACATCCAGTCAAAATGGTATACCTACTTCCAGTTTCAATAAAAATTACATTACATTTAATGTTTATTGTACAAAACCACCAGGAATTACTCAACAATAAAATGTAACGGCAGTCTCTGAGTTGTTTCGAGTTAATGAGAGACCATTTACGTAACCTTAAAAGCGCGTGTTAGCTTTGTTTTATAAAAGCTTAAGGTAATTGACGAGGATTTTATTTTTCACTGCGCTGAGATGGATTCAGATAAGGCGGTGATGGTATTATTAACTGGGAGTAAAGAAAATCGGTAAGTTCAGATTTTAAAGGCCTTGCCTTTCAAAATACATACCAAATTTGGAGAGGGAATATGCTTTAATTAAGCAAATGACCACTCATATACTACTTTTTTCGTGAAAAAGAAATGAAAGATGAGTAAGGTACCTGTGGTAGGGCCACGCAACAGCTTTGTGCTGTTGCACAAATGGGCAGGTCCATCCGGGTAGTACCTGCTTCGGCAGTACTAAATACTAAAATAGGAACGATACAGATAGGATGACACGCAAAATCGTGAAGCGTTTCACATTTTTCTTCTGAATCTTCTTTTAAAATATTCGAGCTGCACCGCATTAAGATCCGATTCCAGGAATTTCATTATATCAGAGTACTGGTGGCGACAGCTAGACCGAAGCTTCTGTAGCTTATTTTTGCAACACTTAAATTTACTTTTGAAAAAAGGTCTCACCCTAACTTGACGTGCGGACATTGCCTATTCAGCTGTTTTACCAGAAATAGATAAGACCTTAAGTGTGACGTCTACATATTAGAAACAAATGTAAGACGAGTAGATGACTCGAATGGCGTAGTGGGTAGTGTAGCTGCCTCGTGTGCCCGAGGGTGTGGGTTCGATCCCCACTACTGGAAAAATATTGTGCGATGAACATAGTGTTTTTCCAGTGTCTTGGTGTTTACATATTTATAATATGTATTTATTTTCAAAAGAAAAGTATGTTTATCAGTTATCTAGTACCCATAATACAAGCGCTGCTTAGTTTGGGACTAAAGAACGTTGTGTAAAAATGTGTGTCCTAAAATATTTATATTTATTTATTGAGTTAAGAAATGTTATTGCTGACAAAGTCTTGCGTGTGTTCAGTTTTTAAGTATTTTCGTTTTATCTATCAATGAAATCCCATTTGTTTTGAAAATTTCTAGTACTCGACATTTGATCATTCGTTGGGAACACTTTATAACAGCAGTAACTTTCATTAGAATAATTTTCAATTAAGGAAAAGTATTTTCAACGAGCGACGTTTGGTTGCGTGTGGTCATTGTTTCCGGATTTTCGCTTCGTCTATCAATGAAATCCCATTTGTTTAGAATATTTCTAGTACTCGATCGACCTTTGATTATTCGCTGGGACACTTTACAGCAACAGGAACTTCCATTAGAATAACTTTCAATTAAGGAAAAGTATTTCCGACGAGCGACGTTTGCGGAGCCGGGGCACGTAGCCCACACGGGGCGTTTTAATAACCTCTGTAATTGTCCTAACGACGCTCCGCTAATTCTGCAATGCTCGTCTGCAATTACTTTCCTCTTTTTATTGTAAACTCTGTACCACTGGCTGAGCACG